AACAACACGAGGGTGAGTAATTAATGACAGAATTTTCCTTTTTGGGTGAACTAACCCTTTAAAAAGTAATAAAAATCTTACTGATCTCAAACTATTGAAAGGCAGTCAGTGTATATATCCTAAAAAAAAAAGTGGGTTGCGGCTCGATGACCATGGGAAAATATGGGTACCATGGCCGAACCAGTTGAGAACCACTGACATAAATAATACTTAGATCAACAGTTTAAGGTGATGAAAGCCTAATTTGGCCTTCATTTCTGACTTCAGGGGCGATTAAACGAAAAGTGGAGCTAGACTGGGGCACAGAAGACATGGAGTATCTACAGAAGGTGGAGCTCCATTCAGAAGGGGCGCTGAATGAAGTACGGCCCGACATCATCATATACAATGCAGGCACGGACGTTCTTGATGGAGACCCTCTCGGAGGTCTGGCTATATCCCCACAGGTACAGCTGTCACTCATTCTTCCTTTCAGTCCACCATATCAGATCCGAAACGCACTGCTTCAACTCGGCAGGGTTGTCTAGCCTGGTCAATAAACTTCTGTATCAATTATTCAGGCCTGCTTTACAGGATGAATGGGCAGTAGTGTTGAGGAACATCTTCATTTTGAAGATTTGGAGGGAGATTAGAAGAAGGACTTTTATTAAAATCATATATCATATAGTGTATTAATGTGACAGTGTTGGATATGCCTGCACATGAGGTTACCCTGTGCCACTGTGACCTGCTACGTCTCAAATCAAATGCTATCAGCAAGTTTATGTAGGTTTTGTATTGCACTTGCACATTATTGAATTTTTAAAATTGCATATTTATGTTTTTTTTTTTTAATCTGCAAAAAGCATTTTCTTAATCAAAGCATCTTAACAATGTAATAATCTTTAAAACAATATATATTTACTTGAGAAACAATGTGCATAACAAGAGAAAGTATCTTTATTTTTTTCTTACCCCATTGACTTTTTTTCTTGTTTTAAGCAAAAAAAAATTTTTTTTATGCTTAAAAAAACTTACCAGTGGGATGAGAAATGTGTCTGGGCAGGATTCGTCTCCATGAACTTCTCTAAACTAATTTTCAAGGTGGAGAATAGGCCAGTCAACCTTATTTTACTTAACTCTGAAGAAAGAGACCAAATGCATTAGCTTAGCTATTTGGACCAATTCATTTGCAACTTCTCACATAATAACTATGCCAGGTTATTTAAAAAAAAAAAAAATTCAGATTTGTACTTTGCTAAACTGACTCATTACATATGAAGCCATATTAAACTCTGTGGTAAAATATTCTCACCCCTCTTTCAGGGTATTGTAAAGAGAGATGAGATCATCTTCAGGGCAGCCCAGCGACGAGGAATCCCCATCCTTATGGTTACGTCAGGGGGCTACCAGAAGAAAACTGCTCGCATTATTGCTGATTCCATCTTGAATCTGCACAGACAGGGCTTGATTGGTGAAGAGGCTGTAGAAGGTGTGGGACCCTCACATGTCCCGCTCATGATGAGCAAATCTGTGTCATCAGGGGCCACGTTCAGTGCCATTTAAACTCTCCTGATCTTGGACCTTGTCAAAGACGCTGTTCTGTTACCTAATGCAAACACTTAGAATTAATATATAATGTTCTGGTCAGGGATCTAATGGTTTGGTAGTTTGGACTGAAATTGACTCAGGATAGTTTTCGTAGTTCATTGATTTGAACTATTTAACTCGTATGTTGCATTTTTTGTGATAGTTTTGGTAAGAAATTTTGAGATTGGGTAATATTTTCCATTTTTCCATCATTTCTTAAGGGTCTTTTATGCAATGCTTGTTTGCACATAAAATTTTCAAAGGAATAGCTTACCCAAAAATACATTTTGTCATCATTTGCTCACACTCATTCCAAATCCATTCAGTTTTATTATATGGAAAAGAACATTTCTCATTTTGTGTTCCACAGAAGAAAGACAATTATACAGTTTTGGAATGACAGAATTTTCATTGTTGGGTGAACTATTCGTTTAAACCATTTTAATTGGTGCCCACAAGTTGGAATTGGAAGGGAATTGATTTCTTCTCAATTTCAAAGTCAAAAAACAAAAACTAAGGGATATTGTACATTCATTTCTCTAGAAGTCCCCAGTTTGAGATACACACACAAGAAAAATATACTGTATGCCAGGAGTTGATTTTATTGAGCGATTTGTGGCAGCTCTCTGCAACATTATATTAGATTTACTCAAAATTAAATTATACCATTATGAATCAATTTTGGATTCATTACAGATTCCTCATTGCGTCGACCTGCTCTGCTATCACGCCTTAAATTATTCTGTGACATTAAATGGAAGTTGCTCTTAGGACGTGCTTTTGTGACCAGTTGGTTTTAGCAGCACGCTGGAATTCTCATTTGTGTGCATCAGCAGGTGGACCACTGTCAGGCTAAGTGCTTTCTATCATATTACGCCTGGCAGGCTTTTGAAACGTCTTCAGGCTGAGGCCGGGGCTCTCTCTATTAGGAAATGAAACTCTTCATTGGAGAGTCCGAGAGACACTGCAGTTGGTTACCAGTGACAGTTCTAAAGCCGTCATCTTGTCTGCCTCAATTTAACAAAATGGTTCCTGTCATCTAGAGCAGGGTTTCCCAAACTTTTTTTAGTCGTGGCACCCTTTGGAAATTTTAACAAACTTGTGGCACCCTACAAAATAAATTGTCACAATATTTGAATTTCTAACTTCGATATGATCATTTGAAAAGTATAAATATTCGGTACAAGAGGGAAGAACTGCAGAATATAATGTCATACAGATATTTTTAATATTATTTAAAAAAATTGTCCATCAATGGTGGCAATCAGTAGGCTAATTTCTATTGAAGAGACCAATTTATATGACAGATTTTAATGTAGGCTTTTATACATAAGTAAACATTATTTAATTACCATTATAACTAGCTATCTCACAAATTTTTGCTCACTCAGTGTTTTTTTAATTTTACAGTGGGGTAATTTTGGTGCAGTAGCACGAGATTCAATTCAAACTTTGAATTATAAAATAAAGGGGTGAGTAATAAAATAAGAACAAATAAAGAAATTAATAATGATAGCACAAATAAAAAATAACGACAGGCCTTCGAATTAAATAAATTGCTTTTTAGTTTTTCAGGTAGGTCTAACAGTAGGGTTAAGATATTTAAATTTTTTTTATTTATTTTAAATTATCCAAATAATGTTTAGTCCTAGAAAGCTATTATTATCAGAACACGTGAGCATAACATAGCGGTTAGCAGATCAATGAATGAGAGGGCAGCGTTACCAGAGTTGCCCATATACCACACCATGTTA